ATAGAAAGAGAGAGAGAGAGAGAGGGAGAAAGAGAAAAAGAGAGAGAGTAGTTAAGGTTTTGATTTAAATGTTATCACTTGTCAACAGCATTTGAAGATAAATGTTTTCACGAATGCTGCACAGAAAATGAGAAAACTTTGTAGTTTTTGAGAAAGCTAACAATTTCGTCGCACTAAAGCTGATTGAGATGAGCGCAAAAAATTAAAGTACATTGATAACTTGAACTAACGTTATTAGTGGAGTTGAAAAGTAGAAGCAGGATGCGTTTGCAGTCAAACAAATACTGGATGGTTGAGGTTTCACACGGGAATAGAATAAGGCACTAGGAAGCGAAGGGAAAAGTGGGTTAGAGCAATTTTCGGAGGGAACATAGAAATTGGAGGAGAACAGTTTTTTACCGAGAAGGGACAGAAGAGAGAATCAAAAACTTTAATTTTCATAGCATATTCGTATTTTAGCGTGAAAATTGTGAAATTCTTTTTCAGCGAAGGATGTGGGAACAGGACCAATTGAACAGTTGCTTAGAGTTTGTTCCAGAAACTATCGATCCGGCTCCGTTTCAATTAGTTGAGACAACATCGCTGTATAAAGTTCACTCGCTTTTTTCTTTACTTGGCATCAGGAGAGCCTACGTTACAAACCGAGGAGTTCTTGTTGGTGTTGTTGCACTGCGTGAGGTGCGATCGTAAAAACTTTGCTACTTTAAACCATCAGTTTAATTTCGGCATTTGCGGTCTAAGTTTACCACATAGTAACTTTTTGCACTGGTGTCTGAAACCTTATGAGTTTTTGGACACGTAGCGCTTTACTATTACCATTAGAAATATAGGTGCGTACGGCTATTGAACGGGCTCATTCCGGAGAACTAACACCAGCTACAATTCCGGCTGGAGTTTCGAGTGATCATAATGGAACTTCCGGAGGCTTAGAAAACGAAGACCTTGAGGCAGGCCAAGACTTAATGCCAGACGATAGCGATTCAGAAACGGACGATGATGACTGTATTATGGTAAGTTTGTAAATTTTCTTGACCATTTTCGACTTCAAGGTCTTTTTGATCATGCCTGCTAATGAAGCAGTAGAAAATACATAAAGAGGCAAATGAGCATTTTAATTATTTTTAGCAGGTAAAAATCAACTTTAGATTTGTGTTGTGACACATGATGTTCATTAAAAAATATGCTGCGTTAAAGTTCCGTAATTTACTTTACTTTTACAAAATCAATTTGTAGCCTCGAGTAGAAGTGGAAGAAGATAACACACCGAACGATGAAGGTATTGCTGAAAAACTGCATTTCAATGGGACTTCAGACTTTACATATGGTAATTCGTTCGATATTGCTTCTTTTAATAAAAATCTCATCCTTTTTTTAGCGAGCTAGAATTAGCTTTGAGTAGCTATAAAGTGGGAAGATATCTGCGACTGAAAGCTTCTTATTTCAGTAGTTTAATACGTATTTGAACTTATACATTTAAAGTACATTATTTTTACAGAACTAAAAACCAGTTTAGTAAGTATCAGTAGTCGAAAGGAGGTTGTCTAATTAAAAATTTTTTTAAAGAGGTAGTAGTCAATTTTTTAAACTATCATATGTTTTGAAGTAATCAAAGTTAATAAAAGCGTTTGCTTTATACTTAAGCAAACATTTCACAGGTGAAAAACTCGATGAAAGAACCAGAACCACTTCCTCATCGTCCTCTTCAAGCGACAATCCGACTTTGATCGGTTTGGTTCCAGAAGGGCTAGACAAGTACTTGAACGAGTACAGCAAAGATCCGAAGAAACAAATTCAAATTGTACCCACTGTACCTACAGAAACACCGTCCAGTTCAAGAAATGTTGATCGACATGTATACATCGTAGAACCAGGAAAAGAAGAAAAATTTGGCCATTCAGTGGACAGCAGAAGAAACTCTTCCGCAGCTAGTAAGCAGTTGTTTGAGAATCTACCCAAGTATTTGGAGATAGTGCCAAATCTATTGGAAAATAATTATGACGCCGGAAGTAGTCGTAACTTCTGTTCAGCAAACAGCGATTCATCCAGTAAGGTCTTTTTAATAAAATCAGACGGAGAAGTGGTAAACGTTGCTGGTCAACAACAACAAGGCACTTCTAGCGCTTCTGCAGGCAGTGCATGGCCAGGCGGACACTCTCTGACCCGTTTTTGTTCTGAGCGTATAATTCGAAGCTCATTCCGGCGATGGGCTAAACGAAGAAGGAGTTTGCAACCAGTAAAGCAAAGCAAGTTGCTAACGGACAGCTTATCGCATCCAAAGAGAGGTGGTCGTAAGCGTCGTACGAAAAGCGGTAAAAATACGGAAGCTTCATCATCAAAGGGTTCAGAAGGCGGGTTACAGAAGACTAAGCTTAGCTCTTCGCTAACCGATATTTTGACAGTAATATCTGACCCAGTTACTGTAAAAAAGTCGAGAAGAAGAGGAATTGTATAAAATCTGCTGTTCAATGACCAGGACAAAGGAGTTTCTGAGGTTTGAGCATTTGGTCTTAGTAGAATTTATGAGAACTGTTCTGCTGTGATTCTTTTTACATACACCAATTATTCACTAAACTGTTTGTAATTTTTTGGGCATTAGATCCTGGCATTTGTTTTAGAATAAGTGTTTTTTATTTCTGATATTTTTTTAAATTTTTTCTGCTAATATTAAGAAATTTTTAAATTTTTTGGTGTGTTAGAAATTTTGAAGTTTAGAAGTTTAGTAGACTCTTTTGTAAGTACAATTGTGCCGTAGTAACTGCTTTTTAATGTACATCTTATAGAGGATTAAGGTAGTTATGCTGGACTTTTTACCTTGTAAATTTTTTATCTTCTGACGATAATCAGCTGCATATTTATCAATATCTCATAGTTTTGACTATACTGTTGATGCTTTCACCTGTCTTCAGTTCAGTGATATCGTTTTCTATTTCTAACTGTAATTGCTGTCTTTTTTTTTTTGTTATTAATTTATTGCACATTACGTGTTCTTGTGTTATATTTTAAAAATTTTTTAATGTTTTGTTTTGCTATTTTCAAAACTTTATTTTTATTTTTTTTTTAAGAATGGACTCGTTTGAAAGCTTTGTTTTATAACCACTTCTTGAAGCATTTAAGCGACTTCTACGCAGCATTTGCCTTTTAACTGTTATCATAGAAGTTAATTTTGACATGTAAAAAGTTGCGTTTTGTATTTATTTGCTCAGTTATCAACGGGTCCCTACAATTTATGTAAATTTTTTCTTTTGTCTTGCTTTTTTTTAAAGTTTCTACAGCTTTAATAATCTTGTTTTTGTGTCATTAACCGGGTATTTGGTGTCAAACCATCTCAGGTGGCCGGTAAAAGTGTTATCTGTGGTCTACCACTACTTTATTTGATTTAAGTTTGGAGAATTCTTTTTTTTTCTCTATGTCAATGTTCCTTCTATGTATTTACGCCTTTATAAAAGACAGTTGTTATTTGGACGGATGAGAAACATGAAAATATTTTTGGTCAAACTGCAAAGAAATCAGTGATTTTACCAATCTTTTGTTGTTGTCATCTGAAGCAACTGATAAAATCGGGCGACTGTTTGTGGCAAAATAAATTTGATTATATTTTGGACAAAGCTATGTGGTTCTCAACAAAGCATAAGGCAGTATGTCCAATTATTTGTTGTTAGCTTAGTACTCATGTACTGACTGATTCTTCTTAAACATATTTAGAGCTTTGGTTATCTCTTTGATATTTATTTAATCTTTTATAAATATTGTTCTCTTGCTATTCTTTAGCTGTATATTGATGTGCTCAATTGCTCTTATTGCTCTCATACCTTTATTTTAAAGTTACAATTGCTGCCTGAATTAATTGTTCATGTACAATAAACAAAAAAAAAAGAGTTGGATTTTTTTTTACAGCAGTTTTGTGAGTCTTAGTTGTGGATGAACACATGGAGAAAAGCAACAGTAATTATGGCTAGACATATGCAAATAGTTTGATTTAAGATTTCAACTGTTCTTTTATGCGGATGCTAATTGTTGTGGGTCTAAAAGATGCTACAATTTAGTAACCATTAAAGAACTTCTTGCAGTTTGAAGCTAGTTCGGTAAATGTTTTGTGCAAATCTTAGATTCTGTTACAACACTTTTAATGACTTTCAGAAGAAGAACAGTATCTAGTTCGGTTAAGTTAAAGGCGGGCTGCATGTTTTATAAAAGAGGATTGCTGGTCAGTGATATCACTGAGTAATGATTAGGCTTAGATGCAACTCCGAAAGAAACATAAACAAAAAAATATTTGTATTACGAACTAAAAAGGGAATTTGTATAATAATTATACATAATTTTCGTTAATTTTGTTTCAAATGCAGTACATGCTGTTTTCTGTTACAACTTTTTTAGTGATTTTAGGCTTCCTTTATTGCGCAGTCTTCCGAGTCTTTTTAAGGATATATCAATGGGTTATAGGCAAAAATTTCAATGTATCGAAATTCCATACGAATTTATTTATATAACCTTCATCTGTTAAAGTGTAATTTGATGAGTAGCTGCCAATGATTATTACCGAAAACCACAGGAAAACCACAGGTTAAATGGAGGAAAAAGAAATAGTGTTACCAATGATACATTTTCTATAGGAAAAATTTGTTTACATTTCTTTCTCTGATTCTTTATCTCTCCACGATTACCCTGAAACAAAAACAAAATTTCATCTTCATTTATTTATTGTTACCTGTGATAGTTACAGTTTGGTCTAACTCTTAAAACAAGTGAAGTTGAAGGAACAGTCAACGTCATTATGTAGTATTATGAGCAGAGGGAAAAAAAAAAGAAGACAAAATAAAAGTGTAAGTAAAAAAAAAAAAAA